GTGTCTGCAATTTGTACATGTTTAGCTTCAAAGTATACAGAGGGCACCCTGCTGCAAACACAAGCAAAAGCAAAACCAAAATAACTTTGAATGGTGTGTGCATTTCAAACTGGAAGGCCACTGCTATTACCAAACCATTGCAAGCATAAACTGTGTTGGCATGTTCAAAAGATTGCTTCCAAAACAACCTTGTTGCAACCCAAGAATGCACATCCAGCCATGGAAGAGACCAAAGTCAAATTCAGAAAGCTGGAGGATTTGAGAAGGTCTACCCCCTACTGTTCACAAACTTCCTTGTCTGCAATCATTGCACACATCAAAGAACATGGGCTTCCAGAAGTTTCTTCAAGGTCCAGTATGTCCAGGGCTTGTTCTGCTGCTTTGGAAGGTGACTTTCATTATGGCCCTCTACAGCTGGACATTGAATTGGAGTTGAAGACTGGTGGCAAAACCACAGTGCCCTGCAACAATTTGCTATCTTATTTGGATGTGCTATACAGTAGAACTTCATCCTTCAAAGGTTTGCTGGACCAAAGGCATTCCACTGCTCCAAGCAGTGTTGACCACCCTTGGGGTTTAGTGATTTACACTGATGAGCTGGTTCCAGGCAACCCTTTGGGTCCTGGCTTGAGAAAAACTTGGTGCATTTATGGCACATTCGTGCAATTCTCTTTGGATGATTTGAGCAATGAGCTCAGCTGGCTTTCTTTACTTCATGTCAGGTCCAGCATTATCGACAAAGTCAAAGGTGGGATTAGCCAACTTTTGAAGCAGTTGCTCAAGACCATATTCTTGGGGCCATGTGACCCCAGGTTTGGCTTGCTTCTTCCAGGTCCAGATGGAAGCAGTTTGAAGCTTTTTTTTGATTTGCAAGTCTTGCTGCAGGATGGTGGGAGCCACAAATATACTTGGAGCAACAAAGGGGATGCTGGCTTGAAACCATGCTTGCTTTGCAATGTACAAGCTGAGCCCAAAGGAGGTGATGAAACCCTGGCTGAAGGAGAGGCAATGGAATCCAGATTGGGTAATTGCAGCACTCTTTCAGCTTTGAAAGTTTTCAGCAATGAGGAGATCTTGGGTTCATATGACAGGTTGCAATCAAGACAGCAGTCAATGAAGAAGAAAGATTTGGGTTGTGGCAAAAAGCAGTGGGCTTGACTTGGCAACCTTGTTTGCTACCTTTGGATGCAGAATTGAGGGCTGCTGATTTGGTCAGGCCAGCTTCTCAATATGGGCATGACTGGATGCATGCCTTTTGTTCAGGAGGTTGCATGAATGTTGCCATGCTTTATTTCCTTGAAGCCTTGCCCAAGGAAGTTTCTTGGATTTTTTTTGCAACCTATGTGCAGAAATGGAACATGCCCAAGCATTTGAATGCTACAAGCTTGCATTTGCTATTTGCAGACAAAAAAGTCAAAGGCTACAGAGAGAAAAACAAATTTACTTGCCAGGCTTCTGAAGTTTTGACATTGCTGCCTGTGATGGTTCACTTTTGCAAATCTGTTGTTCAGCCAGCAAATTGTGCACCAGATGCTTGCAAAGCTTTTCTGGCAGTGGCTACAGTGGTGTTCTTGTTGTCAGAGGGGCAGCAAGCTGGCATCACAACCCCTGGCCTTTTGCAAGAAGCAGTTGAGGCTTGCTTGGCAGCTTGTTTTGCAGCTGGCTGGGATTTGATACCAAAATACCATTGGCCTTTGCATATGCCTTCTCAACTTCAAAGATGGGGCAAGTTGTTGAGCTGCTTCACTTGTGAGAGAAAAAACAAAATTGTCAAAAAGTGGGGAAACCCCATGCACAACACCAGCAACTTTGAAAGTGCTGTCAGGAAAGAAATCTTGGCAGAAGAAATTGCTAGGTTGCAAATGCCAGGTGTTTTCCAAGAAGGGCCTTGCCTTCTCAATCCACACCCAGCCACCAAGCAGCTCACTGACTTTATATGTGAATGGATTGGCCAGCATGCCAATGTTTCCACAGGCTTGGTGTGCAAACTGCAGAATTGCAATCGATGCAGCAAGGGTGATATTGTGCTGCTACAGGGCGACATGGTTCAAGCAGCTCAAGTTTTTGCCTTTGTTACAGTGCCTGGGCATGTCCTCTGCTTGCTGCAATACTTGGATGTGGAAAATTGCAATTTGGAAACAGCTTCAGCCAATTGCACCTTGTCACCAACAAAGGATTTGGTGAGTGTTGAGTACTTGGAAGCTTCTGTTGCTTTTACAGAAGGCAAAGGCAATTCCTTCAAACTCTTGTTGCCTTGGCAGTGGGTGCAAAAGATGGAAATAGCTGTAAAAGGCTTGGGCTTTTGGTGATGCAGCTTTTCCAGGCTAGCAGCTGATATGCCTTGAAATGACAACAAAGCACTAGCCTGTCCAGGCTACCATTTGTGAATGGCCTGCAAAACAAGCCCTATAGGCTTTCCAGGTTGTCAAGTTTAGTGTCTCCAAATCATGATCATTTCAAAAATCTTGAAATCCACAGCAACATTTTTTTCCAAGCTATATACTTTTATTTTTTGCCCCAAACACAAAAACCATGCAGGATTTTTTGAAAATCACAAATGCTCGATTTTTTTTGCTCAAAATGAAGACGTAATATCTTTTAACACCTCACTGTACAACACCAAAATACAATCATATTTTCCAAAAAACTATACATGTTTTTTTGTGGCTAACTCTTGCTAACTATTTAGCTAACTCTTTAGCTAACCCTTTAGCTAACCCTTTATCCTAACTCATCATAATTCAAGTTAACTCATGTTAACTTTTCTGCTAACTCTTCATAATTTATCTTAACTAACATAACACATGTTAAATCGTTAGCAACAACCAGATCTTCTAAGCAGCATGAGGTGCGTCAAGCTTGGCGCGCTTGGTGTTTGCAGCGTCACATGTCTTCCGGGCGCAGGGATGCTGATCTTGATTGCTTTGGTGTGCATGGTTACTTCTCTCGGATCGATTGGAAGGCTACGCGTGCTTTTTGTGCTTCGGGTCCTGCGGCTCGGGCGATAAGCACTGGCGCTTCCTTTTCGCCTGCTGCCCTCCAGAATCGTATTGAAGAGGTTGCCACTTCTTGCATTTGGCCTGGCTGTACGGCGTTGGGCACTTTTGACCATATTGCTTGGTGTTGCCCTTGTCGGCCTCATGATGTCACCATTCCCCCCAAACCTGGCGAAATGTTATCGTCTCGTTTTGGGTGGGCTGTGGCTGGCTCGGATGTCAACAGTATGCTTGTCCAATCTCGGCTTGTTCATGTCCAAACTTCTCTTTGGTCGCATGTTCATTCGGATTGATGCTTGTCTGTCCTTGGCTTGGCTGTCGCTTGGCTTGTTTTGGGTTGGTGTCGGGTGGCATTTGGGCTTTCTTTGCCTTTATGCCTCCGTGTCGGCTTGTGTTTGCTTGGTCGCTGTGCTGTCCCGGTTGGTGGCTGGGCTGTTCGTGCCCTTCCCCCAATCGGCTTTTGCTCGCTTGCTTGGCCTTTGTGCCTTGGCTGGCCGTTGGGCTCCTTGTGTCCTTCGGCTCGCCGTTGCTTGGTGGTTTTCCTTGGCCTTTTTCCCTCCGGGGCCCTCTGGGTTCCTGTTGGTTGTCTTGGCTGCTGTCTCTATAGGGCCTTTGTTCCCTGTTGCTAGGATGTGGTGGTGTGGGGCCTGCCCCGCACCTTCTTCGTGCGCTGTTCGCTGAGGGGCAGTTCACGCTCAAAGTCTTATATATAGCTATGTTAAATTACCAGAGGGTATGTCAAAGTAACATAGAGTAACTACAAGAGGGTAAACCCCGCTGAATTTCAGCCCCGCGCAATCTCCTTGGACCGAACTGCAGACAAAGCTCGCCACGGATTTGTGCGGTCTCCCAGAGCCGGGGGTTAGGGCGGCGGCTGGCTCTACCTATGGTGGGCTTAGATGCGGGACCCAATTTATTAAGGAATCTTAGAACGATTACATGTATAATTTATGTAATATAGTTGGAGGTTGATCCAAAGTAATTGTCAATGGAGAATCTACAGGAAACCATAGATTGTCCCATGAGAAATGTTTTTATATATATATATTTTTTTTCCCCTTAAACCAATCCATTGACAATTTGTTCTTTTCGCTTTTGTTTCCTACTCCGATTTGAACATACCTGAGAAGCCGCTGACAGGAAACTCTCGATTTTGTATTGTACCTGTTGGTTTTAATTGATTTTTTTGTAGGGGTATTTCTGTTATGGGAACTGGTTTTATGATTTGAATTTAAAGTTCGGCATCGAAGGTGTTTGCTGGGTCAGTTTCCTTGACAATACCCATAATGTTTGGCCATGTTTTCTTGTACAAAGTGGTTGCCCCTAATTATAAGATATTATAAGTTGGTTTATGACCCAGCAGACTATAATTACGATCGCGATAGACCCTTAGTGAAACCAGTTATAAACCTCAACTTTGTTATTTTGGGGGTACCACCTTTATAATTAGGTTATAACTCAGGGTCTATGGTACGGGTTGGTTTAATCCCCATGATTGAATCTGTTCTTCTGCCATAGGTCTTGTATGGTTTTGTTGATGAAAGGATGGGCTTAGGCTTAAACCGTGTCAGGCATGGATGAACCATTCTTCCATTTGTTGATCAATCGAGGGGTTACCCGCTCTGATCCGCAGGAGCCAGAATCACTTGGCGACTTGGCACCAGAAGAGTTACACCCGGAAGGTTTTTCCAACATCCGGCAGAAGATGTCAATATAAATTAGATAAACTTTGGTGATTCGGGAAATATGAAGGGATCATCCCCAAATTGCCGAACCTTTCATGGTAGTTGATAGGCCTTTTGTGCCAATATGACGAAGGGCTCATCCCCAAGCTCATGTCGGTTCCACCTTGTTACGAGGTAAACAAAAACACTTTTTGGGGTGTAAAATGCAATGTTTCTGCGGTAAAACTTATTTTCCCAAGGGTAAAACACAATGCTTTGAGGGTACAGTCCCGGAGGGCCAGTTGCGGCAGAGCAGTCTCGTGACTCGGCAGCTTTGGGCTCAACTTCGCACAACGTTGTGATTTGCAAATCTTTGGGCCAGCTGTTGGCCTGTTTCAAAAACTCCCAGGCCTCCGGGCCTTGGGAAAGGGTGGTTTTTTAGGAGGCCCAGGCCTGACCCGGTGAGAACCGTTTCGCCAGGTTTTTGGATGTAGCCTAAACAAACATAGCTATTGAAAATTGCCATGTATAGTGGATTTACCACCCATTATCAAAATGGTGATTTTCTATAGTTATGTTAGTTTACCAGGGGGTAGCTTCCCTATTCATCATATTTCACTCAGAGAGATTCCATGATTTGTTTTAATGTTGTTCGTACCACTGATGGTTCGTGAAAGTTACTGTAAACCGTTTTGACTCTCCATGATTCCAATCTTGCTCCAGGCCCAACATGATGTTGACCTTCATCACTGTTTGGACCATGGCTGTGGCCATTCGAAATCGGGACTCTGGTGATCCTCGCCATTGGAAAAGGCAGTTCTGAATTTGGCTGGAAAATTATCACAGGTGGATTCTGTTCACTGGCCCTTTATGTATCTTTATTTACTGTATCTGAAATGGATGTATGTGAATATTGTAATTTACAAGGACCTCACTGTGACGTCACTGCAAATGATCCTTACAGGATTAAGTCACGTTGGTAACTATCCCAACGCTGGCCGGACTTTTCGGGTGGATTGTAATTTCCCAGTGTAATCGCATCCTCCTGACATCATTATACAACTATACCTCCATGTGTTTAACACCGCAATATGAATAGAGAGAGTCTTACGGGTTTGGGGTATCCAGCGGATGGAATTTTAGTTGTTGGTAGTTATAAGTTATAACCCCATGTGGTTGGGTAAGTTATAACGACCTCACTGTTCTCCCTCACTGGAATGATGGTTAGGGGTGACTAACCCCATGTAGCTTTATTTCAGCTTGGTGAATTATCATGATTTGCCCAGATGTATGGAGGTTTCCTGAAATGGGGGTGCCCCAAATTGGATGGTTTATAATGGAGAATCTTTTAAAAATGGATGATTTGGGGGTACCCCCATTTTAGGACAGCCCACACGCACATATAATTCTATTTGGATATATAGATATTCCAGTAAAGCCTACACAAGGACGATGGCAGAAGTTTCCAGGAGAAAGGAATGTTATAACATGTTACAAAGTAGGAGTCAAGGACAAGTTTGCCTATCTTAGTTGGAATGAAGCCTCAAATCTTCTCAACTCCTTTCTGAATTCGTCCTCACATTTTCTCACCCCTTTTCAACGCTTCTCAACTGTTTTCAACTTTTTGTTCATCTCTTCCCACCTCAGCTCAGCTCTTCTCACCTCTTCCCACCTCCTCTCAACTCCTTTCTCAACACTTTTCACATTTTCTCAACTCCTTTCTCAACTCTTTTCACATTTGCTCAACTCTTGTCACCTCCTTTCATCTCTTCTCACCCCTTCTCACTCTTCCCAACGCTTTTCACATCTTCTCAACTCTCCTCACCTCTTGCACACCTCTTTTCAACTCTTCTCACCTCTTCTCAACTCCTCTCAACTCTTCTCACCTCTTGGCTTAAGACTTCTGAGCCACTTCTCTACTTCAGGACCAGCGAACTAGGCTTAAGACTTGTTGGCAACTGCTAATGTTCACTTTCCGTAAGTTGGAGTTTCTTTGCGACATTTCCTTTGATCATTAGTGAAGCACACGTACATATTTGTATATCCATAATATGTCATACATATACCCCTCTAGTAGGTTCACACAGATACATGGAAAATCCACCATTGACTAGTCATTTTTCTTCTGCAGCCAGGGGTTTTCCATGTTTGGAATGTTGCTTCCCAGACTTGGCTGAAGGGACAATTCACAATAAAAAAAGCCACATGCCCTGCAAGATGGATTTCTTCGATTCCAAAAAGTTTGGTCTGCACATCTAGCTCCAAATACCCACAAGAATTTAGAACAAGTATTTTTCACTCATGGCTAAAACATGTTTTTTCAAGGATACGACCGGAGGGTCTATAGTCACCTCAGCTTTTCGTGAACCACGGCGGGGCGGATCCTTTTTTCCTCAGGATCCCGTTGATCCTGCAGCGGAGTCCGAACGTGTTCTCCTCGCAGCAGATACGGTGGTGGCCTACTTCGAAAACCGGGGAGCTGGGAAAACTTTGGACACAAAAATCATCTAAAATCTGAAAACCAAAGAAAATATAGGAAAGTTGGACCTGATAGTTCGATCCAAAAAAAGACAGACCTCCATCATCTGGGACCTGCGAAAGCCTAACCTGTAACTGGGGAGAGCAAAATTAGCATAAAATTAGCATAAAACACCATGACTGGAAACTACAGATGTCCATCCCCCGTGGCCCAACGTACAAACCGGCGGAAACCTGCGGACCCCTTGGTGCGTAGGGCAAAATGAGCGGGTGAGTCATGGTCATGATTCACTGTGCTCTTCGATTTGTCATGCACAATTGACCATACATAATATACATGTTGCGGATAAATGTGTTTTCTTTCGAAATACCAGGCATTCCAAGAATTGGATTCTAAAGTTTACAGGCCATGAATCACCCAATCAATCTGGCATAAAAAAAAGGTTTGATCTATCATGAGGACGCCCATGAGGTCCTATCTCCTGCCCATTCTACCACCAATATCCTCTGGAACCCCCAGTTAAATCCTATGCAAAATACGGGTAAATGCCCTCCAATCGGTGGTGTTAAAGTTTTTTCAAGGTTTGTTTTTGTTCACTTTCGAAAAATCGAATGACTATCCAAATTCACAAGATACAAGCATATTTTTTGGATGGGTGGCTCAACCCCGAACCGGTCATGTTTGGACAAGGTCGATCTGACAAGTAACTTCTCAGATGGTGTGCTCACTGACTCCAACGGCCAGCGCTATCGCTGCTGCACCTTTGGTTTTAGCCGGTGAAAAGCGCAACAAGATTGGCAGGAAAAAATGTATAGGGGTTTAAACAATAAACTCAGGATTGAACCACATTCGGAATGAGGTTTTTAACATGTTTTAACATGTGTTAACCATCACAAAGTGGGATTCAAGTGATTTGGGATGTCAAGTTCCACCACAAAGTGGGGTCCCCAGGTCCGCGGGCATTTGGAATTCAGCGTCATATTTCGGTCAGTGGGCGAAGTGGCCAATCGCCGAAGAATTAAACATGTGGGATAATTCTACCCCAAAAAGATAGAAAACTAACATTCTAACACTTGTGAACATGTTTTCTTTTTTTTGGCGGTCACTATATATATATATATATTGAAAAAGCTGCCCCAGCAAAAGCAGTGTTGTCCGAACATGGCTGCTACTGTGCTCTATAACGTGACTAAAATAGGGACACTCCGGAAGTTGCATAGGAAGTTTGCAGTTTCAAAGTGGGTCTGGAAATAGGCCCGCAAAATGTAACAAATGATGATAAAACAGTCATTTTTTGGGGCACCTGACTTTCAGACAATCCAACCCCTCTTGTAATCACGGCTAGTTTTTGATACGTGCATTCTTTCCACGGCTTGTGGGCAAGCTGTTGGGAAACCACTATATAGTTATCCCAGAATAAGATGCTCAATGATATATTTGGGTGTAAACATTCCGGCCTCAACTGAATATTCCCTTGAATCAACCCAAATCCGAATTCAATAATTGACATATGCTTGTGGGGCACCCTGCAAGCTTGCCGAGATTCCCGAGGCAAGCGGAAAGCGAAGGACTATGGACTGGTGATGGCCGAAAAACCAGATGGGCAGGAGACGGACATGGGAGGCCTGAGAGACCTGGGAGGCCTGGGAGACATGGTGCCATGATGTCAGGAGCCCCTCTTGTCGGGCTGCAAGGGCTTGGTTGGAGTCCGTTACAAATCCTTTGACCAGTTCAAGGACGAGAAGGCGCGACGCCGCGACTCGCAGAGCATTTGTGGGTTCGGTTCGGGTTTTATTATTTTTCGATATTATAACCTCAGGAAACACTTGACAAAGAAGAGAGATGAAGGGAGGTTGCCACATGAATGGCTGGTGGAGTACGCTTTGTCACAATGAGCGGGGAATAAAACTTAAATGAATAGACATTCGAACGGCCCCCGGCCCCCTTCGGTCTTTTTGGAATTTTGCGACGAATTGTCAGGCCACGCTGGTACAAGAAGTTAGGACCCACACGCTATGCTGCAGTTGGAGTATGGAGGTAGCAACCCACTTCTGTAGGAATCACATGGAATCACCTTCAAGTTTTTTCCCCTAGCTTTGGAACATGGCCAGTTTGAAAATGATTCCCTTTTCAATTATGTATATATAATTATATATATATATATATATACAATTGTCCGTGGCCGTGTTAAATTCACTGCAGCCCACTTTGCATAGTTTGCGAACCGATCATCTCTGATTACATCCCAGTTGTATCCATCTTGGGCTGTATCTTAGAAGAGTCAATTTTCTCATCGCGCCCGAAAAAAATCGGTCACTAATAGTTTCCTCTCACATTCGGAAGGTACAATTCGTAACTGAATTCAATTGATGTTTTGAACAAATACATCGAGAGAGATGAACTATATATTTATTAACTTGTCCTTTGTTAGATATCCCCAATGTGACTAACTTGGTGTGACCAGCAAGCAGTTCGACGAACTCTCAAGTGGTTGTCATGTCCAAAGTTTGTTGGCTCAGAGTTCGAGACCCATAAAATCCTCGTAAAATCGCCATCAAATTCCAGGCAACCCTCATTACTCCATCAACAATAGTTTCCATTTAGTCGTTGATGGAGTAATTTTGTCAATTTGTTGGTGTGCCCAGCTCCCGTTGCGCTTTGCAGCGTTCGTGCTTGCATTTTCATGGGAGAAAAGAAAAATCCAGGCAAGCCTCATTAGATCCCGTTGAAACCGCATTATGGATGCCTCCAACCAAGACAGACCCTGCCTAATTTGATTGAGTTTGAAAGGCAACTTTCCCTCCAAAAGTTGGCGATTAAGGGAATCTTTTTGGGATTTGGGGACTCCAAAATCACTCACTTTTAGTCATACAGTCATACCACTCAAGTTGTAAGCTGGATTGTAACCCCACGGTTTCCCATGATCATTTGATGAACTATACATAATATTTCCCAGAGTTATACATATTAGTTTTAAAGCAACTTAATGCCACTTAGCCAACGACGGCACCACCTTGTATCCCATGTAGTCCCCAAGGGGACTTCCTGAGATTCCAACGAAATTCCCACAAGGTCATAAGGTGGTATGTATGATTCAGGTTCACAAGTGGGCTTATGGTGATTATAAGTAACTAGCTGAACTAGTTAGAAGTTGGGCCCTCCCCCCCCCACTAACAGTTCAAAACTGCCCCCCCTTCATAAACCACATAGCAGAAAAGCACAATCATATTGGTGGTAACTCAGGCCATTTTAGGGGATCCTTAGGGTTTGCTTAGGAGAAAATGTGATCTAGGTGGGCCGTACAAGTAACAAAGGGTGGAGTAGTGAATGCAACAACATCACTACCTTTGAGGTGGCATTGTTTATGGTTAGATCACTTGAATCAGTTTAACGAACATCCGTTTGTATTGCGCCAAATTGTCGGAGCCATCAGGACATGTTTGCTGAACTTGTCATGAACTAGCCCAAATCAAAGTATCGATGTTGGTGTTGATCTCCTTTGATGGTTGGAAAGTTGGAATGATTCTGAAAAGCATGATAGATGACATCACTATGTTTATTTTAATATGCGTATGTCAAATAGCAATGACAATGATATGATATGATGACGCAAGGTGTTGTATCGAGATGATGATATGATATAACGACAATCTGTACAGTATTGATCGCAGAATGCCTGAGATACCGAGATACCGCAATCAAACGGTCCAACCATTGTAAGTTATAAGTTATAAGCGTTACAAAGGCGTGCCTCCAACAATAGTTGTTGAGGTCCTCAATACACATCATATGATAAATACATTTTTTCACATTCCCGATCGTGGCATGGGCTCACTCCTGAAAAAGTCTTTAAGAAAGGCGGTTGGAAAAAGGAATGGTGTGAGACATTTGCTGGGCCGCCGGTCCGAAGGCTGCCGAGGTCAGGCGGCCTGAGCTTCATTTTTTCCAAAGAAATACTCATTTTCTTGTGTTTTTGTTTGTGCTTTTCCGGCGCTCCAGAGCACAAAAAAAACACAAGTCATACCACAAAAAATATCACGAAAAAAAACACAAGTCATACCACAGAAAAAAGCACAACAAAAACACAAGTCATACCACAATACATTTTTTTTAAAAAAATAAACGCAGTTCATACCAACAAAAACAAAAAAACACACAAGTCATACCACAACCAAAAGCACCAAAAAAAAACACCAGTCATGCGCGTTTTCAGCCCGTTCGTTCTTGAAATTGTGAGGGGAAATATGGTCTAATTTGTTTTCCATTGCCAGCAACCACAAATCATAGCACAAAAAACATCACAAAAAAAACACAATTCATACCACAAAAAAAAGCACAAAAACAATGCACAAAAAACAGAATTCATACTTCAAAAAAAAGCACAAACAAAACAAAGTCATGTTCCTTTTTGTTTCTGCTTCAGTTTCTGTTTTTCCCCACCTGCCAGGTGAGGGTTGTTAGATTTTATCAGAGCTCTTGCCCGCCTCCTCCTTCTCCTCGACTAGCTGTCCTCATCCTCCTCCTCGCCTCCTCCTCCAGTTTCTCCTCGACCATGTCTGCATCAACTTCCACCTCCACTTCCGCCTTGCCAACTCGTCGCCAAGCTCTTTGCCAACTTCCCAGCTCAGTGCGCACTGCTGGACCTCAACCTGGGAGCTCCCCAGCTCAGTGCGCACCGCTGGACCTCAACCTCGGACGTTCCCAGCTCAGTGCGCACCGCTGGACTTCAACCTGGGACCTTTCCAGCTCAGTGCGCACCGCTGGACTGCAACCTGGGACTTCCCCAGCTCAGTGCGCACTGCTGGACCTCAACCTGGGACCTTCCGAGCTCAGTGCGCACCGCTGGACCTCAACTTGGACCTTCCGAGCTCAGTGCGCACCGCTGGACCTCAACGGCCAGATAGAATGCCAGAAGATATGCCAGATAGAATGTCAGATAGAATGCCAGAAGATATGCCAGATAGAATGCCATAAGATATGCCAGATAGAATGCCAGAAGATATGCCAGATAGAATGCCAGAAGATGTGCCAGATAGAATGCCAGAAGGTATGCCAGATAGAATGCCAGATAAAATATCAGATAGAATGCCAGAAGATATGCCAGATAAAGTGCCAGAATGTTTGCCAGATAGAATGCCAGAAGATATGCCAGATGATTTGCCAGAAGATATGCCAGATAGATATGAGATAGAATGCCAGAAGATATGCCAGAACATATGCCAGAAGATACGCCAGGTAGAATGCCAGAAGATATGCCAGATAGAATGCCAGAAGATATGTCAGATAGAACGCCAGATAGAATGTCAGATAGAATGCCAGAAGATATGCCAGATAGAATGCCAGATAATATGCCAGAAGATATGCCAGAAGATTTGCCAGATGATATGCCAGAAGATATGCCAGATAGATATGAGATAGAATGCCAGAAGATATGCCAGAACATATGCCAGAAGATACGCCAGGTAGAATGCCAGAAGATATGCCAGATAGAATGTTAGAAGATATGTCAGATAGAACGCCAGATAGAATGTCAGATAGAATGCCAGAAGATATGCCAGATAATATGCCAGAAGATATTCCAGATAGAATGCCAGAAGATTTGCCAGGAACAAAGCCTATAAGTGTCATGGTGGGGATAACTCGAAGTAAAGTATTTTGTTCTGCTTCTTCCCCACCTGCCAGGTGAGGGTTGTTGGATTTATCAGAGTTGTTCTCCTCTTCCTCGGCTAGCTGTCCTCCTCCTTCTCCTTCTCCTCCTCCTCCGCCTCCTCCTCCAGTTTCTCCTCGACCATGTCTGCATCAACTTCCACCTCCACTTCCGCCTTGCCAACTCTTCGCCAAGCTCTTCGCCAACTTCCAGTGCGCACTGCTGGACCTCAACCTGGGACCTTCGCAGCTCAGTGCGCACTGCTGGACCTCAACCTGGGACCTTCCCAACTCAGTGTGCACTGCTGGACCTCAACCTGGGACCTTCCCAGCTCAGTGTGCACCGCTGGACCTCAACCTGGGACCTTCCCAGCTCAGTGTGCACCACTGGACCTCAACCTGGGACCTTCCCAGCTCAGGGTGCAACGCTGGACCTCAACGGCCAGATAGAATGCCAGAAGATATGCCAGATAGAATGTCAGATAGAATGCCAGATAGAATGTTAGAAGATATGCCAGATAGAGTGCCAGAAGGTATGCCAGATAGAATGTTAGAAGATATGCCAGATAGAATGCCAGAAGGTATGCCAGATAGAATGCCAGAAGGTATGCCAGATAGAATGCCAGATAAAATACCAGATAGAATGCCAGAAGATATGCCAGATAGAATGCCAGAAGATTTGAGTAGATAATATTCCTCAAGATATGCCAGATAGAATGCCAGAAGACATGTCAGATAGAATGCCAGAAGATTTGCCAGTAACAAAATGTATAAATGTCATGGTGGGGATCACACGAAGTAAAGTAATTTTCTGCTTTTGGAAAGTTGTTGCATTTTCAATTAGCCAGCCCGGCCCAGCTCCAGCCCCCCCACTCAGCCAGCCAGCCCCTCAGGCCTCTAGTCCCCCAGCCCCCCAGCGCCCCCCAGCCCCCAGGCTCAGCCCCCTGCCTTGCCCAGGGCCAGTCCAGCAGCCCCGGCCTTTTATATGTACTGTACACACACATTTTATTGTGTTGCTATCTGGGCAGCATCCTAAACCCTAAACAGTGTTGCTTCGCCGTCAGCAACATCACTACTGACAAGGTGCTGACAAGCTGGATGCATGAGGCATTCCAGTAGGCCAGGCATTGGAAATGCCAATGTCGAATTTTGACAGCAAGGACTTCTGAACATGGCAAGAAAATGTGCCGACCGCGGAGCCAACTGTCATCTAGCCTTAATAAGGGGAAATGAAAGTCATATTGGGGGCTACAACTTGGTTTTTGTTCTGTTTTTTCTGGTATGAAATGTGGTCACTGTTAGTGTCACGAGGCAGGGCCCAAGTTATAAGTATAGTTAGATGTATCCCTATCATGCCAATCATACCCCAGGCCCATATCCCCGTACAGCAATCTTCCCGCAGTCAATATGTTGATAAGTATCATCATGAAACTTGAGAACGGGCTGAAAACAGGTGAGCATACGCCAACATTATCCAACATTTGGGTGTCCCATGGTGTCCCATGGAGCCCCATGGTGTCCATGGTGTCCCATAGAAGCATTGTGGCTAGACCCAACTGGATCCAACTGGGATAAACCAAGTAAACACCAGGAATTTTTCACCTGCCTTTCTTACCTCGGAAGGCCACCTGTTTGGCCTTTGAGAGTGGCCTGCCATCCCAGCTACCGAAGGACGGGAATCATCATTGTCCAGGAGGGATGTATCATCATTTTTTCAGGGTATAGTACGCTCTGGTTTTTTAACATTGCCATGGAAAATGGCCCATGAAAATAGATGTTTTTTGATGATTTTTTCGTACCTTTTAAACATGGTGATTCTCCATAACTACGTTAAATGACCAGAGGGTAATGTAATTATAGTAACATCAGCCGGGGCTACCGCATATATTGCCAAGAAATTTTGCTCAGAAAAGATGCCCACGTGTCCAAGAGGAGAAAACCATGTTCCGAGACTTGCATCACCCAGTTTTTTGGTGGTTAATGTGGGTTGCGAGTCAGTTGTCATGTTTTTTGGGTGGTGATTTTTTAATGTTTGACTTTGAAAGTTTTTGTTTGCCGGACATGTATATACGAGCACATGGCTGACCATGACTTAAACAAGCCGTACCTAGCAAACATTCTGGGAAGATCGATGTAACTTGCGGAGGTTTTGGACCTTTTCCAAGGACTTCCCTCCTGGAGACCTGGTGTTTGCAACAGTAAACAAGAAACTTGGCTCATGTCTTGAGTTTTTGGTAAAACTCGTGTTGCTTTCGGAATGGCGCTTCAGTCACACACGTCTTGTGCAGTGGGATCTTCATAACGATGCTATAGTTTTTGTCCTTTGGAAAATAAAAGATGGAATGACAAAAGGACATGTTCAGACATTCCAAGATAGACCCTGTTAGCAGTTATTGGCATGTGATTGCACTCATTGATGGACACGATTCTCTATTCTATGATTGAGGTTTTATTTTTGTATTTATTGTTTTTTTGCTTGTTTGTTTGTTTGTTTGTTTATGTTCGTTTGTTTGTCTGCTTGCGCGCATGCTTGCATTATATTTATTGTTTTTTTTTGTTTGCTTGCTGTTTGCTTGTTTATTTATTCGTCTGTTTATTATTCAAAAGTGGCCAGGCTTCCCATTGTGTCGGATGCACCCTGCTTCCCCTTTGATTTTGTTGGTAGAATTTGCACCATTGGTGGCTATTATAAACTCAGTTTCTTCATCATGGCAGCCCTGTTTTGCGCACGGATGGGAACAATACACCAAAAATTTCAATGACATATCAATAACTTTTTGAGAATAGGTCTGGCTTTGTTATTGTAAGTTGAACTTCTAGCGGGGTACCATCAAACCCTCTCTAGTGTTCTTGCAAAAGACTCCAAATTTGAAGGCATCAGGCATAATCTTTATATATATGGCATCATTTTATTGAGTCTTCAATTCCGCGGTTCTCCTAGGTCAATCAACTTAAATCTGCATGTTCCTTGCTAAATCAGCGGTTTGTTCCAGGTGATATCCCAAAATTCCCGAAACATCATCCTTGTGTTGGAACTCAAATCAAATCCGAGATTGTTTCTCACAAGTCCCTACGTTTGCAGATCAAATGAGTAATTGTACAATTTTGCCTTGCTGGCTCAGATGGTTTCTTTTCCCGCACTACACTACACTTTTGGTTGATGAAACACATGGCAGAAACCCTTGAACAACACCATTGGCTTGAACTCCCCTTTTTTCCCCACCTGCCAGGTGAGGGTTGTTAGATTTTATCACAGCTGTTCCGGCTCCTTCCTTCCTTCCTTCTTTCCTTCATTCCTTCCTTCCTTCCTTCCTTCCTTCCTTCCTTCCTTCCTTCACCTCCTCCTCGTCCTCCTCCTTCTCCTCCACCACCTCTGCCAGAATATATGCCACATAGAATGCCACATAGAATGCCAAAATATACGCGAGAAATAATGCCACATAGAATGCCAGAACATATGCCAGATAGAACGCCAAAATATATACCAGATAAAATGTTGGAAGATATGCCAGATAGAATATCAGAATAGATGTCAGATAGAATGTTAGGTAAAATGTCAAAATAGATGTCGGAATATGTGACTTGAAATGCCAGGGTGGGGATCACTCGAAGTAAAGTAATTTGCGTTTAAATCCAGAGGGTTTCCCCAGTTTCAGGACATCATGAGATGCATCTGCATCTTGGTCCTCCCTCCTTTTTCTAAAAACTATGGAATATTGAGAAGCGCACGAAAATAACCTCCACTGATGCTCAGTAGGATGCAACCATTTCAGGACATCATTGTGTCCCAAAACATCCCAAAATTAGATTTACTGGTACCCGTTAACCCCGTTTTACAAGTTCAACCGCAGATGTTCGAAGCAAAAACCACTTCTTTTTCATCCCTTTTGGTGGCTAAATCTTGATTTCTTGTGGGTTAAATACCATTACATCCCAATTTTCTTGGTCAAGTTGGGCCCGTTAATTCACCACTGTTTTTGACCACCAAACAGGGACATCATAGTTGCTGAAAAAATAGAGCTGCAGCTGATCCCCCAACCATCGAGAATAATGTGGTCAGCTGAAAATTCATCAAAACCCGCTAGTAAACCAATGAAACTACTGGACCCTCTTGTTTGGCAGGCTAATAAAAAGCTTTTCTAGCAATAAAACCAATTACTTTACTTCGTGTGATCCCCACCATGACATTTATACATTTTCTTACTGGCAAATCTTCTGGCATTCTATCTGACATATCTTCCGTCATTCTATCTGGCAAATCTTCTGGCATTCTATCTGGCATATCTTCTGGCATTCTATCTGACATATCTTCTGGCATTCTATCTGGCATATCTTCTGACATATATTCTGACATATCCTCTGGCATTCTATCTGGCATATCTTCTGGCATTCTATCTGGCACTCTATCTGGCATATCTTCTAACATTCTATCTGGCATTCTATCTGACATTCTATCTGGCAAATCTTCTGGCATTCTATCTGGCATATCTTCTGGCATATATTCTGGTATACCTTCTGGCATTCTATCTGGCATATCTTCTGGCAGATGTTCTGGCACATCTTCTGGCATATCTTCTGGCATTCTATCTGGCATTCTATCTGGCATATCTTCTGGCATATTATCTGGCAAATCTTCTGGGATTCTATCTGGCATATCTTGTGGCAGTCTATCTGATATTTTATCTGGCATTCTATTTGGCATACCTTCTGGCATTCTATCTGGCATATCTTCTGGCATTCTATCTGGTATATCTTCTGGCATTCTATCTGGCATATCTTCTGGCATTCTATCTGGCATATCTTCTGGCATTCTATCTGGCATACCTCATGGCATTTTATCTGGCATATCTTCTGGCATTCCGTCTGACATTCTATCTGGCATATCTTCTGGCATTCTATCTGCCCGTTGAGGTCCAGCAGTGCACACTGAGCTGGGAAGGTCCCAGGTTGAGGTCCAGCGGTGCACACTGAGCTGGGCAGATCCCAGGTTGAGGTCCAGCGGTGCACAACTGGGCTGGGCAGGTCCCAGGTTGAGGTCCAGCGGTGCACACTGAGCTGAGACGGTCCCTGGTTGAGGTCCAGCGGTGCACACTGAGCTGGGAAGGTCCCAGGTTGAGGTCCAGCGGTGCACACTGAGCTGGGCAGGTCCCAGGTTGAGGTCCCAGTGCACACTGAGCTGGGAAGTTGGCAAAGAGCTTGGCGAAGAGAGTTGGCAAAGCGCTTGGCGAAGAGTTGGCAAGGCGGAAGTGGAGGTGGAAGTTGATGCAGACATGGTCGAGGAGAAACTAGAGGAGGAGGACGAGGAGGAGGAGGAGGAGGAGGAGGACAGCTAGCCGAGGAGGAGGAGGAGAACAACTCTGCTAAAATCTAACAACCCTCACCTGGCAGGTGGGGAACAAAAAATCTAGTTAAATTATAAAATATAAAACTGACTACGTGGTTTGAAACATTTTTCCACGGTATATGGGATAATCCATCCCATTGACTTTCATATTATTCTTCAGAGGGGTAGGTCAACCGCCAACCAGACTATTATTAACCATCATTAACCATATAATATAATAACCATATATTAACAATTATTAAGCATCATTAACCATCATTAACCATCATGAACCGGTGACCCATCCATATACCCTTTTGTGCCGCCCAGGGAGCATCCGGGCACCTTCTGGCACTTGAAGGTCAAAGTGGTGGATTCCAGGTGCAACGGTTTCAACGTGGGCCGTTTGTTGTTATTTGGGGCGGTGGTTTGTAACGGTATCATGTAGTAAACCCAATGGTTAATGTTGAAATAATGCTGAATCATGGTGAATCATGGTGAAATCATGCTGAATCATGGTGGATCATGGTGAAATATTGCTGAATCATGGTGAAATATTGCTGAATCTTGGTGAATCATGGTGAAATATTGCTGAATCTTGGTGAATCATGGTGAAATATTGCTGAATCATGGTGAATCATGGTGAAATATTGTTGAATCATGGTGAATCATGGTGGAATAATATGTTGAAATATTGCTGAATCATGGTGAATCATGGTGAAATAGTGCTGAATCATGGTGAATCATGGTGAAATAGTGCTGAATCATGGTGAATCAGGGTGAAATATTGCTGAATCATTGTACATCATGGTGAAATATTGTTGAATCATGGTGAATCACGGTGAAATCTTGCTGAATCATGGTGAAATGTTGCTGAATCATGGTGAATCATGGT